ACCCATTTGCACCACCGAGATGCTCCTTTGTGTGGCCTACAGTGCATTTTCCCCCGTTTTCTTTTATTGAGGTATAACTCACATATATAAGGAAGTGCAGAAATCTTCAGCGTACAGCTTGATACATTTTTACGTGTGTATGTCCCATGTAATCACTGCCAAATCAAGATCTAGAACATTTCCTGCACCTGCATCCTCCCTCATTCCCTGTCCCAGCCAACCCTCCCTCAGAAGTAACCATTATTCTGAACTGGATCACCATAGATTCATTTTGCTTGTTTTTAACTTCACAAAAGTGGAATCATTACCGTACATACTCTTGTGACTAGGAATTTTTTTTTTTTTTTTCTTAATACTACATCTTTGAGATTCATCTTTGTTGCCACAGGTAGCAGTAGTTTACTCTTTCCTTTGCTGCATTGTATTCCATTGTATGTCTCTATCACAATATATTCATTCTACTGTTGATGGACAATTAAGACAATTAGCCCTAGTCCATTATACGTCTATACCTCAATGTATCGATTCTACTGTTGATTCACAGTTAGATTGCTTCCAATTTGAGGCTACTGTGAATAATGCTGCTTTGAATATACCTGTGCATATCATTTTGGTAGACATAAGTACCTTTTCTCTTGAGTATGTACTCAGGAGTAGAATCACAAGGTCACAGGATATATGTGTTTAGTGTCAGTAACCAAACCAAACCCACTGCTATCTAATTGATTCTGACTCTTAGCTGCAATAGATACTGCTAAATAAGTTTCCAAAGTGATTGCTCTAATTTTCGCTCCCACCAGCATGCGCGTTCCAGTTGCCCAACATACTGGTCAGTACTTGGTATTGTTAGTCTTTTCAATTTTAGCCATTCGGTGGGGCATAAAGGGTCACATAGCATTTGTACATGAAAATGCAAATCTCATATTTTTCTCTAAAGATTGGAGGATCTGGAAACACTGCTCAAAGATTCCTATAAAAGTACAATTGGCTGTAGCTTGTCAGCCTATTTCCTGACAAACAAGAATAACTTCGTTCCTGAAAGGGGTGGGGAACACCCACTTCCCATTTTATCTCAGTCTCCCCACTTTTCCATTTTAAATCTGTCTTTTTTCACCAATTTGTATTATATGCCTGGCCACATAAGCAATTAGAGATTGTGTCCTCTCACTTGCCCAACTTCTATGTCTTACAAATGAAATGAAAGTCTTCTCTCCAAAACAGAAGGCCCCCTTAACATCCTTTCTTAATGGATACATTCTTTCCCCTTCTCTCTTCCTCTTCTCAGTTCCCCACCACCACCCTCACAACCCATCCCCACAGAAAGAAGAAGATCTTGTAAAATCCAATTTTCTCATCTTCTAAAAATGTGTCCCAAAGGGACCGTCCTCATCAGAAGCATACTGTGGCCAAACAAAGACTCTGATTCTTGAGTTAGCTGTTTTGTAGAGTTCAAGTGGCATAATGATAGTTCTCTCCCCAGTCTACATCCCTAGTATATTGTTTCTCTTACTAAGCTCCTCACTGAGAGAGAGATCCATTTAGTCAACTGATTGTGTTTCCCCGAGTGTCTCTGCAAGCAGCCATGTCAATTTTCAGAGAAATCCTACTTCTTTGGAGCAGCATCTCAGAGGTGCCACAGTTCTTCATGACAAAGCCTATGAATTCTGATACAGCATTTCAGAAATTAATGTGGATCTCTTGTCACCAGCAAATGCACTAATACCCTACTCAAATAAAACCAGCAGTAATATAACTCCTAGCACAGTGATGGTGAGAAAGGCTTCCAACCCATAGTCTAGCATAGACAGATTTATAATGGATTGCATAATATAGTCATTGTTGCTATTTATACAAGACTTCTTTATATTCAAATGAAACTAATTCTCTTTGAATTTCAAAATATATTTTATGTCCAGACACAGAGCTAATTTTGAAATAATTATTATTTCAGAGCTTTCTTGTGCTTAGTTATTTGTTTGATTATTGGGGAAAAAAATACACAGTCAACAAAAGTGTCTAGCAAATATGTTACTTCCAGGTATTTTGTGAGCTGCTAGAGATACAAAGGCATGAGGTGTGAAAGTCTTTCCATTGTTCAGCCTTGTTAAGACCTATGTCCCTTGGCCTGCAAACTGGCCTTTAAAACAGATGGCAGCTACTTAGGATAATAAACAAGGCAGGTATATGGGCATTATCTTAACTTATTCCATTTTATAAATAGCTTATATTTTTTTCTAAATATTTGTTATGAATTTGGAAAATAGAAGAATGTTAAGAAGTAAATATAAAATTCCCAAATCAATCAACCAAAAAAAATAATAAAAATATAACTATTTCAATTAATTCCTTTCAGGTTTTTTTCTGTGTTGGTATGTATACATGTATATGTATGTATGTATGTATGTGTGTGTGCATATATGTGTATGTATACCAAAAAGCAAACTCACTGCCGTCGAGGTGGATCCGACTCACAGCAACCCCTCCTTGGGTTTCTGAGGAAATAGATTGCCCAACCCTCCTTTTGAGGAGTGGCTGGTGGGTTTGAACCTCCAGCCTTCTGGTTAGCAGTCAAATGCCTTAGGCACTAAGCCACCAGAGCACCTGTGTGTGTGTGTTGTGTGTGTGTAGTCATGGAGTTGAGATGATACTATGCATTTTTCTATCATTAGAAACTCTTAAACTATGTTTAATACTTTGAATGACTTCATAATTTTTGGAATAAGAATGAATACTGATTTTTCAACCATTCCCTGCTATGGAACACTTTCATTGTTTCATTGTTTTGAAAATGTTTATAAATGTTTCATATCTATGTACTTGCAATTATATCTTTGACTCCATACTCAATGATTAGAACTTCCAGAATAGTTTTAAACAACAATAATGATCTTGCCCATAGTTTATTCCCTGAAATTTAAGGAAATGACAGGCTTTTGTTAAATACAATAGCATCTGCTGATTTGAGAGGGTTGAAAATCTCACTAAATAAGTTCTTTGAGTTTTTGTTTTTACACGTTAACAACAGGGAATTGAACATTACTAAATATCTCTTGGTGCTATTGAAATAATTAGGTTTGTACTAACTTGGCCTATACATGTGATACATTACATTAATAAATTTCTCAATAGTAACCTCCCCTCCTCTGATGAGTACTGCTATATCATAGGGTATTATTATTTTAATGAATTGTGACATTCAAATCCCTGGTATAGATGTGAGGATTTTAACACATATGTTCATTGTATACTGTGAGTAGTTTCTAAGGCATTTGACTGCTATCCAGAAGGCTGGCGCTTCAAGCCCACCAGCCACTCCTCAGAAGGAAGATTGGGCAATCTTCGTCTGTAGTGATATCGCTTTGGAAACCCAAGGAGGGGTTGCTAGAAGTTAGCTCCGAATCAATGGCAGTGAGTTTGGGTGTTTTTTGGTTTTATTATTATATTGGCCTCTTTCTCATCTACAAAAAGAGATATTGCTGAAATTGAGATTTAAAAAAAAGCTGCTTGTGTCCCTTTTCTTTTTTCTTTACTTCTTATCCCAGTTGCAGTTAGTATTTTCCTTTTGTGAGTTCACAGAGTACTTTCCTTAACCTCTCTCAAGTCACTCTCATCACACTCTTATATTAACATTATTTACATACTCGTCTCTGTCCTTGTATGAGTGGTCTGTGTCTTAAATCTGAGAGTTTTGTATCATTCTTTCTTAGTCTTTGAGTTTTGTCCACCTGACCACGCCTGTAAAGTAATGTTGATTCCAGCGCAGCACTGCACAGTGGCAGATGGTAGAAATGCATTTAGCTGAGTTTTCTTATCAACACCCTTGGATCTCTAAACCATCCCAGCAGTAAACTGAGGAGCAGGGAAGTGAGAGTGATTCCAAAGATCTTTGGGTACCATACAAGCTTCTTTGTGGTAGCAATATGGGTCCAGAAGATGTCTATCAACTTCCAATGACTAAACGCAGACACAGGCAGGAACTAGCGAAAGCACCAGAAACCAGCCTTCGTGTATCTAGTCCAGAGAACTGCTCCATTCTGGTACTGATGGTAGATTACAAAGAAAATCTATTCTATTCATTACTTTTGCCTCCCTCAAGTATGTTCTGTTAAAACTAAGTAAATTCATTGTATTCTAATTTTTTTTTTAATCCTCCCAAGCTCATATCAAGGCCTCTGTTCAAAATCATGTCTTTCAATTGTCAGTTCTTTCCCAGGGGAAGCCTTACAGTTCTACTCTGTAACACACGAGACAGCAGCTAATAACAACATGTGGCTCCGCTATTAGACTATAAACTACTTGAGGACAGGGATTAGGTCTTAAGCATATTCTAACTCCCACTGTGTCTTTCATTGTGCTAGGCATATAGTTTGTACACTTACCATTTCTGGAATTACTTATCTTATCTTTTTTTTTTTTTTTTTTTTTCAATGTACTGTTATCCAGTGGTGGTCCTCACACTTCTTTAAAGCCCAAAAGCATCTTCACAGTCCTTTTAACCAGTAGCTATGGGTAGAATCACATCCAAAAAATTAATGAGAATTAAATAAAACAAGATGACAACAGTGAAGGGGAATGTAAATACACTATTCAAGTGAGAATGAAAATGAGTATCACACCAATGGGAGAAAATATTTCAGCGATGACTTTTCTAAGTGCCTGATCAGCTTTCAGACTATCCGTGAGGGAGAGAGTAACCTATTGCTGTCGAGTTGATTCTGTTAGTGACCCATAGGACAGAATAGGAATGCCCCGCAGGGCTTCATGGCTGTAAATCTTTCTGGTAGCAGACTGCCACATCTTCCTTCTGTGGTGCGACTGGTGGATTTGACCACCATCCTTTCGGTTAGCAGCTGAGCAGTTCACCACTGCACCATCAGGGCTCCTTGAGGGAGAAAGTAGCTAGGGGATATTTGCTAACCTGGTGCTTCCATACAATAGCTAGAATTCTTTGAAAACAAAGTGAAATATGGTGTCAGTAATTACTTTTTTCTTTTCCTCAGGGTGTTAAATACTACATTATTTGAAAGTTGGGAGATCGTTGGTCCTTACCCTTCCTGGTGGGTTTTTAACCTACTGCTGTTGGTAGTACAAGGGTTGAACTGTTTCTGGTCTTATTTGATCATAAAAACAGCCTGCAAAGCTATTTCAAAAGGCAAGGTAAGATAAAATGTACCCTCTCCAATATCACCTAGAAAATTTTGTTTTTTGGTTCCTTTGAATTTTTGAATTTCATAAAAATGGCTACTATTTCTTAAAAGTGTATTATAACCTCAACAGAAACCAAGTTTCATTTCTTCTATTTAGTTCATTTTTTAAGCCTTTAGCATTGTTTTGCTGATGAGTCCCAATGGGGTCTGCATTTATAATTTCAGATTTAATGAAGATATGTTACTTGTATGTGTATTTTTCTCTCCTGTTTGTCTTCCTTAGACTCTCTTCTTGATTATACTTGTACTGAACAAAAATTAAATACTTCTTTCCTTTTGAGAGATCAGTTGCTTGGTACAGTATACCCATTTAAACAAACCTTGCTCTGAAATTGAAAAATGAATCCATTCATAACTTTCCCAATAAAAATTAGTTAAATCCCATTGGTTAAGAATGTATTCATGGGGCTGATTCAAATCAAGCTTCCTGAGCTCAGTCCTTCTGTGTTCAGCAGTAATTTTTCCAGGTTGTTCTCTGTGACTTGACATTTTCTTACTTTCATTGTTTGTTCTCTTCCTTCTGCCACCCTGGAAGGCTGGGAAGTGGAATCCTTTACATGTAAGTTTCTCTCCCCTCTCTCTGTCCCTGTCCTGGGTGCTATTTAGCCTGTTGGAGGGACACTCTGATGTTTTGCTTTCCATGTATAGTTTTTCTGTCTAATCTGTTGATCCTGACTGGAGCTCTTACTAAGACGTGACTCCCATCAAGTGCACAGGATACTTACTAGGAACAGCTTTATTAATGTTCTTTGTGTGAACTTACATTCTGTTAAGTTTTAAATGATCCAACAGAAAGAATTTCTTTCATTGGTATTTCATTTAGGCTAAGTGGCCAAAATAGACCAAAGTAAAGTAGGAGAAACAGAACTAAGTTTGGGATAGGACTAACAATATTCCCAATGAATGAAGGTCAGAAGGGAGGCCTGGACATCAGCTGTCTGCTTAATCTGCCCTGGGCCACAGTGAGGTCCCTCCACAGGTGGAAGTACTAGTCAAGTACTATGAAGCCAGCTCTCAGCATCTGCCCCTATATAAATCCAAACTATTTTGATCATTACATTGTTTAAAAGCTGAAGTTTACTTTTCTATGACTTTTCATTCTTTAAAACAAACACATATATCTGTTTAAAACTTTTCTTGTTTTCACTTGAATTCAAATATACTACTGTCAATATGACAATAATACTGAGATGCAGGGACACCATGGAGTAGGTTACTTGGGTCCTTATTGCATTGCTGTTTCCACCAGATGAATTTATCTTCTGTTTAGCTTATTCTTTCAGCTTTACAGAAAAATGATCATTCATTTTATTCCTGCCATTGCTACTCACCTAGGACAGTAAGATTAATCTAGGGCATGGGTTATGGATTCAGTTTTCCTATTGGTTACTGTGAAATATTCTAGATTGCTCCTTTATGTGAAGGTAACATAAAGGAAATTTTTCCAAATACAAATTAAAATAATCTTACTAAGCATGCACGTATTAGTCAACCATTGTCTGAACTAGAGTTTTTCCACTAACAGCTTAATTTATGACTAATGAACTTCTAAACATAGTGGTACAGTACTATCACACTGTCTTTGTGACCCATGTCTTTTGAGTTAACCAAAACTACCAAACTCACTGCCACCAAGTCGAATCCATCTCATAGCGACCCCTCCTTGGGTTTCCGAGGTGGTATCTCTACGAAAGTAGATTGACCAGTCTTCCTATAATTTAGTTATTTTGCTATTTTAGAACTGAACCTTGTTAGAGGTGCCCCATGAAGGTTCAGCCACATCTCAAGAGGTGCTGTAGTGAGGCACATTGTTACAAAATATACTTCCTCTCTGGTTGGAATGGAGCAATAGTTCTCAGCTTTGACTTTCTCCTGCTTTAACCCATCTGAGAGAGGTGACTTTGTCCTGCAGTAATGGTGGCTTTTCAAGTTGAAGGAAGTGAATTCCAGGATTCTCAAATTGGGGAGTGCTGATGGCACAGGGAGGATGTGTTGTAGAAAAGCCCCCAGCTAGTTCTGATATATCTCCCAGGAGATTTTTCCAACTTTCCCAGCTCACAAAGACTCATAGGTAACTAGATTTGAAGCTAGGCCACCAGGCCCCAAATATCATCCTGTTTAGAAAATAAGTAAATGGTGCTCAGTTACTCAAACAATCTTAAAATACTTACCATAATAAGTCTTATAGAATACCACTGCCATCTAGTCAATTCCAACTCATAGCTAATACCCACCACCATCTAGTCGATTCTAACTCTTAGCTAATACCCACTGCCATCTAGTCAATTCCAACTCATAGTGACACCCATTGGTTTTCTAAGGTGGTAAATCTTTACAGAAATAGATTGCCCCATCTTCCTTCTGTGGAGCAACTAGTGGGTTTGAACCACCAGAAGATTGGCAGTCAAATGCCTTAGGCATTGTGCCACCAGAGCTCCTGAGACTTATAGAATAGGAGGTTCAAACTATTCACATATTAAAAGCAGTAGAGCATCCCCTTAATTATTCCCTAAATTACTTTCTTACTAGACTGTGGGATTATTTTCATCCTTTATTATAATGCATAACTCTCTCTCTCTCTCTCTCTCTCTCTCTCTCTCTCTATATATATA